CTTCATATTGCTGAGTAGTATTTCTTTGTATAAATAATCACAATTTGTTTATCCAGTGACATTTGGGTTGTTTCTGGGTTTTGGCTATTACAAATAAAGCTGCTATGAACACTCATATATACAATCATTCTGTGGACATAGGTTCTTATTCTCTTGAGTACATATCTAGGAGTGGAATGTCTGGGATGAATAGTGGGTGTATATTAATTAGTAAGAAAACTGTCAAACTGGTTCCCAAAGTAGATGTAGCAGTTTGCATTCACTCTGTATCTGTGCCAACAATTAGGCAGACTGAACCATTCTATATATATAGTGGTAACTCATTAAAGTTTTAGTTTGCACTTCCCTGATGACTAACGATGACAGTCATTACTTTATTTGTGCTCATTTGCTATCCACGTATCTTCAAGGATAGAGTGTTCAAATCTTATGCTCATTTAAAATGAGGTTGTCTTACCATTAAGTTTTGAGGGTTTTTAATATTCTAGATACAAGACTTTAATTATATATATTTTTTGCTAATGTTTTCTTCCTGTCTGTGGCTTGTCTTTTTTTCCTCAGGATTTTATTTAAATTCCAGTTAGTTAAATACATGTAGCTTGTCTTTTTATTTTTTTAAACAATGTCTTTCAGAGAGCAAAAGCTTTTAACTTTGATGAAGTGGAATTTGACACCTTTTTCATGTATCATGCTCCTGTGTCCTATTTAAGAAATTTTTGCCAGAACCCAAGGTCACTAAGATTGTCTCCTTTGCTTACTTGTAGGTATTTATGGTTTTAGCATTTATATTTAGATCTGTGATCTCTTTTGAGATATAAAACTTTACATATATGGTGTGAGAGATAAGGGTAAACGTTCATTTTTCTGCATTTGAATATCCAATTTGTTAAAAAGAATATCATTTTCCAATTATATTGCCTTGGCACCTGTGTTAAAACTCATCAGTATACATGTGTATCTATTTTTTTTTTAAAGATTTTATTTATTTATTTGAGAGAGAATGAGACAGAGAGCATGAGAGGGGGGAGGGTCAGAGGGAGAAGCAGACTCCCCGCCGAGCAGGGAGCCCGATGCGGGACTTGATCCCGGGACTCCAGGATCATGACCTGAGCCGAAGGCAGTCGCTTAATCAACTGAGCCACCCAGGCGCCCATGTGTATCTATTTTACTCAACTCTTGATTCTGTTCCATTAACCTATGTCGGTCTTTATCCTAATAACACAAAGTCTTGAGTATAGTAGCATTATAGTAAGTCTTGGAATCAAATAATGTTAAGTTCTCCAAATTTTGTGTTTCCAAAATTGTTTTGGCTAATCTAGTTCCTATGCATTTCCATAAAAATTTTCAAATTAACTTGTCAATTTCCCCAAAAATCCTACTCTAACTTTTGTGACTGAACTGAATGTACAGATCAATTTGGAGACAATGGACATCTTAACAATATGGAGCCTTCTGATCTAAGACCACCTTATATCTCATCATTTATTCAAGTCTTTTTTAAGTTCTCTTAGCAATGTTTTGCAGTTTTTAGTGGATAGGTCATACAGAATTTTTTCTTCAGTTTATGCTTAGGTATTTCATTTTTTCTGATGTTACTGTAAACGTATTTTTAAAAATTTCCCATTGTTTCTTGCTGAAATAATGGCAGTACGGTTGGTTTCTGTATCTCACAATCTTGATAAACTCACTTAGTAGTTCCAGTAAGTTTGTAAATTCCTTAGGATTGTGTACCTAGTCAATCACGTCAACTGTGAATAAAGACTCTTTGAAATCTTCCTTTCCAATCTCAGTGTCTCCCTCCTCCCTCTTTCTTGCCTTATTGCACTCACTAGGACCTCTCCAGTAAAGAAGTGGTAAGAGCACATCCTTGCTGTGTTCCTGATCTTAGGAAGAAAGCGTTCAGTCTTTCACCTTTAAGTTTCTGCATCTATTGAGATGGTTATATCCAACGTTCTTTCTAAGTCTGTGAGTATGGTAAATTGCATTGATTGATTTCCAAATGTTAAGCCAACCCTGTACTCCTTGGATAAACTCCATTTGTTTATGATGTTATTTACTAACCTGTATATATGTTCCTCAGAGATACTGGTTGTTATTTTCTTGTAATATCTTTTTTTAATAAGCCCCGAGTGATTTTTATATTGGGTAATTCTTTATAGATATTGTTGGGACATATTCCCTCCTATTTCTGGAAATATTGTGTAGAATTTGTATTGTCTTTCTTAAATGCTAGCTAGAATTCACTAGGAAATCCACCTGAGACTGGAGTTTTCTTTGTGGGATTTTTATAAACTCAACTTATAATTTAATAATTTAATAACTCAAATTTAATTGAATTTAAAAATTCAATTTAATAGATAGACCTATTTATGTTATTTTTATTTGTTTTTTAGTGAGTTTTGGTTTATGCCTTACAATGAATTGTTCTTTCACCTAATTTTTCCAATTTGTGGGCATTAAATGATTCATAATATATCTTAAGGCCTGTAGGATTGGTAGTAATATGTTGCTTTTTATTTCTGACATTTCTGAATTGCATGCATTCTCTTTAAAATTTTATTTAGAGGTTTATAAATTGTATTGCTCTTTTCAAAAGCAACAAGTTTTTATTTCATTCATTTTCTCTGATGGTTTTCTATTTGCAATATTACTGATTTCTACTGTTATCATTTCCTTCCTTTTACTTGCTTTGGGTTTAATTTGCTCTTCTTTTATTGATTCTATGTTGGAAGCTTAGATCACTGATTTGAGATCTTTCTTTTTAAATATCAGTATTTATGCTATAAATTTCTCTGTAAGTACTGCTTTAGCTGCATCCTCAATTTTTTATGTTGTATTTTCATTTTCATTAAATCAAAGATATTGTCAAATTTCCTTTGTGACTTCTTCTTTGACTCATGGGTTATACAGAGGTATGCTATTTAATACCCAAATATTTGGAAGTTTTCCAGAAATTTTTCTGTTATTAATTCTATTCTATTTTTAAATACTTTTTAATTCCATTGTGATCAGAGAAGTTTCTTTGTATGATTTTAATTCTTTCAAATTTGTGGATGTTTGTTTTATGACCCAGAATATAATGTATCTTGGTGGATGTTTCACATGCACTTGAAAAGAATGTGTTTTCTTTTGTTGGGTGCAGTGCTCTATAAATGCCAATTATGTCAAGCTGGTTGATAATTTTGCTCAAGTCTCAGCTCTATCTTTACTAATTTACTGCCCACTTGTTCTATCAATTACTAATAAAAGGGTTTTGAAATCTCTGATTATAATTCTGGTTTTATCTACTTCTCCTTTCAGTACTACTAATTTTATTTTCATGTATTTCAAAGCTTTGTTACTAGGTAAATAAGTATTTAGGATTGTTATGTCCTTATGTATGGCCTTCTTATCCAGTCTGTCAATCTCTGCCTTTATTTGGGGTGTTCAGACTACTTAACATTTAATATTATTATTGATATGATTGATTTTAGTCTTTATCATGCTATCCACTTTCTATTCTCTCTGTTCTTTGTTTCCTTTCCTCTTTTTTCACCCTTCTTTTGATGTTTCTTTATGATGCTATTTTATACCCATCATTACATTATTATATATACATCTTTGTTCTTGTTCTTGTTGATTTTATGGTTGTTTTATGGTTTTTAATAATCACAGTCTACCTTTAAGCATATCATACCACTTTATATGTAGAGTAAGGACCTTCTAGCGGTATACTTGCATTTCACCTCTCCCAATCTTTGTGGTATCATCATCATACATTTTACTTTCGTACTGTTTTGAGTTTATAAATGTCACAATACACTGTCAGTGTTTCTGCTTTAAATAGTAAATTAACTTAAAAATTTTTTTTGAATTTTATTCAGTAATTGCATACATATTGATATTATTTTGTTATTTTGGAACAATTTATTTGTAATGTCAGAAAAATAAGCAATTATATTTTATTTGAAATGAAGATTTTCAATATAAGAGAAAAGGAATATAATTGTGGAATCAAAAATGTAGGTAGAACTGGATTGGCAATATCAATATTAACTCATTCCTTTACAGTTTTAATACCTATCTTTTCAAAACTGTAATAAAAAACATGTAACTTAAAATTTATCATCTTACCTATTTTTAAGTGTATAGTTCAACAGTTAGTTAGCTACCCTTTAAAGAGATTTAGTAAGAATAAAAGTCCTTTATATTTACTTACATAATTACCACTTTTGGAGTTCTTCACTCCTTATATAGATCCAGATTTCTACCTAGAAGCATTTTTCTTCTGCCAGAAAAATTTCTTGCAGTGCTGGTCTTCCATGAAAAGAGAACTCAGCTTTTATTTGTCTGCAAAGTTATTCTTTTGCCTTCCTTTTCAAAAGATATTTTTGATGGGTCTGTTGCTACTTATTAATTTTTCTTCTCGTATGAGATCTATTTTCCTGTTTCTTTGCATGCCTGGTTATTGATTGTTATATGGTAGACATTGTGAATTTTATATAATTTGGGATACTGGATTTTTTTGTATTACTTTAAATATTTGGGGGGAATTTGTTCTGCATATGGAGTGAAGTAAACTTGTAAACAATTTGATGTTTTGGCTTGCTTTTAACATTTGTTAGACAGGTCCAGAATGTCTTTTAGTGTAATCCACACAGGTCAGAGTCTTAGGGCAGAAAGAAGGGTTGAGAAGGGTACAGAGTGGATCTGGAGGGCCAAATAAAAGTTATCTGATATATAAGAGTAAATGCTTATTTTCATATCTGATATTCCAATAGACTGTAATTTCCTTGGGGTCAAAGACAAAATGTCTTTCCCCATTTATATCCTAGAGATTAATAGTATCTCACGCATAACAGGCATTTGTTAAATGTTTGCTTTCTATATATTTTTAAAAACATAACTGTAATCTTACATTTTTCTTTTTAAAATAACATGTAGTTATTTTAATAGTGATAGCATTTTTTAAAAAGAACTTAAAATAGTATATATTTAGTAAGTCTATTTCATCAACTTACATTTTCCTCATCCATTCTATCTTTCTAATTTTTCTTTTCTTTTCCATATCTTGCCTTCTCTTCAGTTTAGAGAAATGGAATTTGATTTCTTTTTCTTCTCCCACCTCTACATTTTCAGTAGACACCCAAAACTATTGAGAAATGAAAAATGAATATACAAAATGTTGAAATACTGATTGTGAGGTTATCTGGCTACAGACAAGAATTTCTGTAAGTTCAGTGGGAATATGCCAAGGTAGAAATAGAGGAGCGAATACACCCCTTTTAAGGTATTTCTGATTATGTCATGGGTGAGTGGCACATTGAGCTTTTGGAGGCACATGTCACAGAAAGACTAACAAAGTGCTAGTATACTGAGGTACTTAAGAACTATTTGTTGAATGGATAAATGAATAGACATACTCCAGTACTGTTTTTGTTTTTCATAAGAACAGACCTTACCTACTCTTAGTGCTGTTGACTTTTGAAGACTCTAAATCTCAAGAAGTACAGGTACCCTTCAAGAACAAAGTCTCATCATTACATCCCCGGAGTTTGTGGTTTCCCTGTGTGACATGCTATCCTAACTGGTTTCCTGTTTTCCTACTTTGAATTCATTCCCTCCCTTCACCACATACACATTAAAGAACAAGGAGGAGAGTTTGCTATCCCCCGCAACCCTATGTATTTGTCCCTCTTAAAGCACGTATTTACTGCACTATACTGAAATTTTCTTTTTACTTTTGACTCTCTCACAAATTAAAAGGAAAGATACTTGAGGGGAGGGACTATTTTATCTACCATTGTATCCCTAGCATTTAGTACAATGCCTGACATATGGTTGGTATGCAATAAGATTTGTTGAATGAATGTATGAATTCACACCTTGATTATTTTCATTTTCATACTTAGTATACTTAATATACCAATTCTATAATCTGCCTACCACAGATTGAGGACCTGAATGAAGACATGAGCCCATATAGACATCTAGAGCTATATAGAACCTGATTATATTAACCTATAAAATGTAAGCTTACAAACATCCTTAGGTAGAGATTATCTCCACAAAAAGGACATTAAACATGGATGTCTATGGAAAAGTCCCTAAATCGTATATGTTTTAAGAACTATGTATATTTAAAATAATTCCATTCGATTAATGAAGACATGTTGAAGTTCCAAACACCATGACAATCCAAATGATTTCCCCCCAGTCTCTGCTGTGACAAGCTCTGTAAGAGAAAATGTCATATTTTTCTCAAGAATTCCCACCTCTAGTCCAAGGATTAATCAATATAGAGTCAACAACATTTTCAAATTTGCTTCACTATAAAGATGCTAAACTCCTGAGTACCAGACAGTATCTAAAGATGACCCAGATCAAAGCTCATTACTAAAAGTAGAAGTAGAGGAAAAAAAAGGATATATTGCTGATCTTGAAGTATTATTAGTAACCCTTGAGTAGTTAATGTCATCACTTTTTATCAGTTAAATCACCAAGATTTATTATTTTAAAATTAATTTTCAAGAAGACAAATGAGTTTCTAAATATATAAGATTCAAAGTTATTAATATTTCTCTTTTCTTACTGTATCAGAGACAGGCCTCCAGCCATTGTTCTCTACACGACGATACCAGCCACTATGATCCTCTTCCTGAAGATCATCACTTTTAATATGAGATGTATATTTTGCTGGAAGTTTTGTATAATCTCTAGGGCTATTAGCACACAGATCTTCAATATGTCTATGAGTGAAAATTTTATAGTATATATCAGGTGGAAATTTAACCTGTATATGGAGAAGTTCAAAGGACCATTGTAATCTAATTACAAAAAAAGGTTTACATTTTAAAAACTTACATCTTTTAAATTTCACATAAATGTGCTTTAAAACTACCAAATAAGAATTCATCCATACTTACACCACCTAATCTGAATCGTACATGAACACCAGCAGCAGCATCTAGAAGCTCTGCCTATAAAAAAATGTATTACTCTTCAACACTGTAGATATCAATTCACTACTTCTCACTCTATCATGTTAAAATAGTTGCTGAATATTGATTATTTATGAAATAGGTCAAATAAATAAACCTCAAATAATTATTTTTAAATTAAAAATATTTTAAGATTTAATTTCTTATGGGCATCCAATAAGTAAAACAGTTTTTATGGTAACTGGAAAAATGATACTAAACTATGTTTACATTCTATGCAACATATAAGTATAAAAACCAACTGATATGTTTTTCACAAAACAGAAATTTTATATGTCCTCAAATATATTATTTAATTTATTAAATTTAATAAATTTAATTAATAATACTATTGAGTATTATTTTACAGGTAAATTCAGAGAAAAAATTATGATTGGCTAATTTGAGTTTAACACCAGATGACCTATCCTAACTAGCTTTTATTAAGTCAAAAATACATATTTAAATTTTGTAAGAATTGTCTATAATTGGTCTTCTAAATTTTAGTGCCCTGCACCAAATGCAAAGTAGAGAAAACAATTTTGGGTCCTCAATCAGAAGACAGTTTAATCTTACCTCCTGATAATATTAAGTTAGATGAGAAAATACATGTTATCCTAAGTCATTCAGTCTGTAAGGCCTGAAAGACCACATGGACTTTTGCACAATTTTCTCCTGACTAAAGAGTATATATATACATACATACATATATAGGGTCACAGTTCAAAAATGAAAAAATATGTTTTATAACAGGATCTAAAACATATAAAATTCATAAAATTTATACAGGTGACACTTGAACAACACGGGTTTGAAGTGTGCAGGTCAACTAATATTTTTTTGTAGTACAGTACTGTAAAAGTAATTTCTCCTCCTTATGATTTTCTTAACATGTTACTTTAGCTTACTTTAATGTAAGAATACAGTATGTAATATATATAACATATAAAATATGTGTTAATTGACTACTTATGTTATTAGTAAGGCTTCTGGTCAACAGTACGTTATTTGTAGTTGACTTCTTGGAGAGTCACAAGATACACATGGATTTTCGACTGCATGGTGGCGGGGGGGCGGTCAGTGCCCCTATCCCAGTGTTGTTCAAGGGTCAACTGTATGTAATTTTTAAGCAAAATTCATTATATATACACTTTTATTTCCACTAAAGTAGGCAAATCTTAAGGGTATAGCTTCGTGGATATTTTTTTCTTTCCTCTTTTAGTCAGTTAGGGTGAGAGGATGATCAAGTCAATCCAATCAGAAATTGAAGTGGGTCAAGCCTGGATTGCAGTTTTACTAATCTACATCTGGTTTGTCCACTTCTAGTTTTTCTCTATTTCTTAGAGGTGGTCCTGGTAAGTCTCTATCTCCTCAACTATGAAAGCCTATAGGAAATTCAGGTGTACTTTTGGGAAGATTTGAGTTTACTTCTTTATCCTTCTATCATCTACAAACTTAAATGGCGATGAGGGTTGGCTGGGTATTTGAAGCAGTTCCCTTCCTTTTAGCATGATTTTGTCTCCTAAACTCATGGGAATTTTTATTTAGTAGAATAGTGTTATTTAAAGTGGACTTAGATTAGTTGTAAATACTCACTGCAAACTCTAGGGAAATCAAAAAATAGTAAAAAAGAGGTATAATTGATATGCTGAGAGGAAAGAAAATGTAATCATATAAGATGCTCAATTAAAACCAGAGAAGGCAGAAAAAGAATGTAATACAAAAAAAGAAAGAACAAGGGCAAGAAATAGAAAACATTAACAAATATGTTAGATATCAATCACTATATTAAATGTCAATGGTCTAAATATACAAGGTAAAAGGCAGAGACTATAAACATAGATTAAAAAAATAAGATCCAACTGTATGTTGTCTATAAAAAAACATTTTAAATATAAAGACACAGATAGGTTAAAAGCAAAGTAATGGAGAAAGATATAACATATTAACTAACATTAATTATATGAAAACTGAGCAGGTATATTAATTTCAGAAAAAGCTGAATTAAGAGCAAGGAAAATTATCAGGGATAAAGAGGAGGATTACATGATGATAAAGTGGTCAATTCTCTATGAAGATATAACAATCCCTAAAGTATGTATGCCTAACAACAGAGTATCAAAATATGTAAGGTAAAACCTGAAAGCACTACAAGAACTAAGAGAAATCCACTATTATAGTTGGAGAATTGAACACCTCTCTGTCAGTAACATATTCAGCAGACAGAAAAATAATTAAGTCCATTAAGAAACTGAACAACACTTGTAATCACCTGGACCTAACTGACATTTCTAGAACACTTCATCCAACAATAGCAAATATACACTCTTCTCAAGCTCATATGGAACATTTACCAACATAGAACATGTTATGGACCATAAAACACACCTTAACAACTGTAAAATAATAGAAATCATACAAAGCATGTTCTCAGACCCCAATGGAATTAAATTAGAAATCAGTAACAGAAGGATAGCTGAAAAGCCCAGAACTTGGCAATTCAACAATACACTTCTTAGTAACAAATGGATCAAATAAGAAGTCTCAAGAAAAATTTAAAAATACTTTGACCTGAGGGAAAATGAAAATACAGCTTATCAAAATTCATGAAATGCACAGACAACAGTGCTTAGAGGAAAATTTATAGCACTGAATAAATATATGAAAACAAGCAAGACCTGAAATCTATAATCTAGACTTCCATCTTAAGAAACTAGGAAAATAAAGCAAAAGTAAGCAGAAGTGGGGCACCTGGGTGGCTCCGTTGGTTAAGCGGCTTCCTTTGGCTCAGGTCATGATCCCAGGGTCCTGGGATCGAGCCCCGCATCGGGCTCCCTGCTCAGTAGAGAGCCTGCTTCTCCCTCTCCCTCTGCCTGCCTCTCTGCCTACTTGCGCTCTCTCTGTCAAATAAATAAATAAAACCTTTAAAAAAAAAAAAAGTAAGCATAAGAAAAAAAATGATAAAATTTAAAACAGAAATCAATGAAATTGAAACAGGAAACCAACTGAGAAAATCAAAGAAATTAAAAGCTAGTTCTTTGAAAAGATCAATAAAATCAGTAAGCTTCTGACCAGGGAAACTAAGAAGGAAAAAGAGAGAGAGGGAAGACACAAATGACTAATATCAGAAAAGAGGGGCTATCACCACTGATTCCATGGGCACTAAAAGGATAATTAACAAATATTAAGAAAAACCCTATGCCTACAAATTTGATAGCCTATATGAAATGGTTCAAATGCCTGAAAGACACAACCCGACAAAATTCATACAAGCAGATATAGAAAATCTGAATAGACCTATTAAAGAAATGGAATCAATAATTAACCTTTCAAAAAAGAAAGCACCAAGCTTCGATTGGCTCAGTGGTTAACACTACCAAACATTTCAGGAGAAAATCATATCCATTCTCTGCAATCTATTCCAGAAAACAGAAGCAAAGGGAACACTTCCTAACACATTCTATGAGTCCAGCATTATCCTAATACCAAAACCAGACAGAGACACTACAAGAAAGGAAAATTACAGACGATTATCTCTCATGAACATAAATGCAAAAATCCTCAACAAAATATTAGCAAGTCAAATTCAACAATGTATAAAAGGAATTATAGGGCGCCTGGGTGGCTCAGTTGGTTAAGTGACTGCCTTCGGCTCAGGTCATGATCCTGGAGTCCCGGGATCGAGTCCCACATCAGGCTCCCTGCTCGGCGGGGAGTCTGCTTCTCCCTCTGACCCTCCTCCCCCTCATGCTGTCTCTCTTATTCTCTGTCTCTCAAATAAATAAATAAAATCTTTAAAAAAAAAACCAACAACAACAACAAAAAAAAATAAAAGGAATTATATACCATGACCAAGTGGGATTCATTCCAGGTATGCAAGGCCATTATCAAATTACAACAGGCTAAAGAAGAAAAATCATATGATCATATCAACAATGCAGAAAAAGCATTTGATAAAATTCAATACCAATTCATGATAAAAACTCTGACAAACTAGGAATAGAGGCAAACTTCCTCAATTTGACAAAGGATATCTACAATAAACACACCTATCATATTTATTGGTGAGAAACTGTATGCTTTCCTGCTAAGATAAGGAACAAAGCAAAGATGTCCCTTCACCCTTCCTATTCAACATCATATTGGAAGTCATAGCTAATTCAATAAGAAAAAGAAATAAAAGGTATACAAATTGAAATGGAAAAAAAAAAACACCTGTTTTTGTTCACAGATCACATAATTGCCTATATTAAAAATTCCAATGAATCAATGAAGAAATTCCTGGCACAAGAAAGCAACTATAATAATGTTGGGGGATACTACATTAACATACATAAGTCAATCGCTCTCTTATATACCAGCAACAAACAACTGGAATTTGAAATTCAAAACACAATGCCACTTATATTAACAACAAAAAAGTGAAATATGTAGGGTATAAATCTAACAAAATATATGAAAATCTGTATGAAGGAAACAACACTGTAATAAAAGAAGATCTATTTTTTAAAGATTTTATTTATTTATTTGAGAGAGAGATTAAGAGAATGAGTGGGAGGAGGGGCAGAGGGAGAAACAGACTCCTGCGGAGCAGGAAGCTCACCCCAGAACCCTGAGGTCATGACCTGAGTAGAAGGCAGATGCTTAACTAACTGAGCCACCCAGGTGCCCCATAAAAGAAGACCTAAATGAGAGATATTCAATGTACCTGGATAGAATGATTCAATACTGTCCAGATGCCCACTCTTCTCAATCTATAGATTCAATGCAATCTCACCCAAAATTCTGCCAAGTTATTTTATAGATATGGACA